CCCTCAAACTCACAAGAGATCTGCCAGCTTCTGCCCCCTAAGTGCTGAGTTTAAAGGCATGCACATCCCGCCACAAACAGACACACACACAATTGGTATGATATATATTAATTAATTAATATATATTAGTCTCAAAATGATTATTCTACCAAAAATTTGTACTGTCCAGTGTGTAGGTATTTACTATTAAGAGTTGGTTACTAAAATTAACTGTTTAAAAATTCTTGGCCACAATATTGCTCAGTGGTAAAATATGAGGCCCTGGATTCAGTCCACAATCCTGGTCAGTCAGTCAAGCCTTTCTGAGTTACTCTAAGCCATATGTGGCTACCATATTTAATAAATATTCTTTCATCAGTCTAATAAGTTTGATTGCACACTGTCCTGGTTTTATTTATTTCATTAGATTCTCAGAACTTTGCATTTGTACCCTATACTACAAGGAAGTCTGGATAAGCCAAACAGCACATCCCCCAGGGACAGTTCTCAGGACCCCAGTATATTGTTTATATGATGATCTGCCAGAAAATCTATTCCTCCGATAAGAACCAGGACAAGTCACAGTTATGCTGAGACTTACTTCCCAGCATCCCTAGGGATAACTTTGTAATCAGTGCTCTTTTGTTTTTGCTTTATCTGTCAGGGGATATGGAGCCAAAGTTCCGGCACTGTCGAGGTAGTCCCTTGGCTTGTCGATCTGTATGCTTAGTTCCTCTCTTCCCAGTCTCTGAGAACACCTGCCAGAAAGCCCTCTAGCTGGCTTTTCCAAAACACTTTAATTTTCAAAATAGTAATTAAAGAACTCTCACTGATGTAGTTGACAAAACCCTTCAGGCTTTTCAGTGTTGCTAGGGAAATTCAGCTGGGAGTATATATGTGTCTCAGTTGAGCTTTGTGGACAGGGTTTGCATAAAGAGGCAAGCAAGAGGAGAAGGAGGAGTATTTATTGTGTCTTGTTGGAATAAGGGTCCTTTTAGGCAACACAGAATTGAATTCTAGGCAGGTATCCGTTTTAGTGGGAAGACACACTGCCATGTTTTTTCCTCCTTTCTTGTTTTATTCTGGAACATATATGCCACTAAGATACTAGCACATTTCAGGCCAAAAGGTAAAATAGGTTTATAAAAAATAAGGTTTAAGCCATTCTGTTGGGCAGAGTTGGTGAACAGATTTGATTTGGGGCTTTCTAGTTGCTAAAGCGAGAAAAGGAAAACACAGAGTTGCGTAGTTTGTGTGTGTTGACAACCAGAAGCACATAAACATCTGCAGAAACCAAACATTTCCTGGAACTAAACTCAAGCAGAAATGTGTCACGTGAACCTTTGTTTAAAGAGTCTAGTGAAAAATATCTTCAACCACAGTTACATAACAGGTCCAGGACACTGTGTGAATTGGGTTCTCTAGGAGGTAACGGGGAGGCACACTGTGTGTTCTAGGCGTAGGGCAGGCAAGCAGAAACGAGCCCTGGGGCCTGAGGTCTGGGCCTGTGCTGTTTGGAAATCTGTTGAAGAGTGCTTCAGACAATCACCCTTGTGGGCTCCTAGGTATTCCAGTGTGGCTTCTCCATAGCGTGCCTTCTTCCTTTCTCCAACAATGATGATTCCAGTGCAGACATTTTCTTTTGGTGGTCAGGGTAAAGCACTGAAGAAAGCAAAGACCATTTCTGAGGGAACTGTAAGAGCCGGCCCAGTACTTTTTGCATTCACAGAAGTCTAGTTCACTTCAGAGTAGGACAGCAATAGAATCTTTAATCTTTCAAAGCTTGTATCTTTTTAATACAAGTTTTTAAATAAAGTAGCTTAACCATTCATAACTAATGTAATAGGGCAGAACCAGCCCCACCCCTACCATATGAAGGACAACTATAACCAATCGCCCATCTGAAACAATGTGATCACAGAAGGGCAGTTTCTTTTAAGAACATGCTCTTTTTCTTGAATTATAGGTATTGTGGTTTGAATAGGAATGGTTCCCATAGGCTAACATGTTTGAATGCTTAGTCACCAGGGACTGTATGAAAGGATCAGGAGGTGAGGCCTTGTTGGAGAGAGTGTGTTCCTTGGGTTTGGCTTCGAGGTTTCACAAAGCCCATGCCAAACCCAGTGTCTCCCTCTTGCCTGCAGACCAGAATGTAGAACTCTCAACTATTTCTCCAGCACCACAGTTGCTATGCCTGCCACCATGCTCTCTGACATGATGATAAACCCCTGGAATTGTAAGCAAGTCCCCAGTTAAATGATTTCTGTCACCAGAGTTGCTTTGGTCATGGTGTCTTTTCACACCAGTAGAGCAGTGACTAAGACACTAGGGTACATTCATCTTAAAAGTTAGAAGCATCCTAGCCTGCTATGTATTTCTCATATAGACGGTAATTATCAACTGCCCATAGTACTAAAGCACGAGCAACAGTTTCTGCTACCTGAGACCAGATCCCATCTACCCAGCAGTGCAAGAGGATGTTGTTAATGGGGTTTAGGGAGGTGTCTTGGGTAGCTTTTCAGCTCTGGTGATGCGTGTACGTACGTGCGTGTGTACGTGAGTGTGTGTGTGTGCTTGTTGGTGCTGACTGAACCCGGGACCTGTGTAACCAACCAGAATATCCCTCCAGGGATAGTTCTGAAGACCCCAGTTTAAATGAGAATCTGCTGGACAAGTGTTTCCTCAGATAAGACCTGAGACTTATTCTCCAGCATGGCTAGAGATAACTTTATAATTAACAAACGCTGTGCCACAGAGCTGTAGGCCCTGCCCTTGGTTTTATGAGCTAGGGTCTTACCATCTAAATCCAGGTAGTCTTTGAACTTGCCACGGTCCTCCTCTGCCTGTCTCCTGAGTTACAGGTTTGTCTACTCCATGCGATCATATAAATTGGGGCTTTTTGTTTTTGTTTTAGATAAAGAAGGCTAATGCACAGCTTATGGCTACATTTAGACCTCTCCTAGGTTTTTGTTTTGTAATACTGTGTTTCTGGGACATGAACCCAGGGCTTCATCAACATAAGTGCTGTATTATGAGCTACAGTGCTGTTCTTGCATTTAGTTTTTATGTGATAAAATTTGTACATATATTTCTAGGTCTTCTGGACCTATGTTTTGTATCCAGGTTTTATTGGTATGGATTTATACTGATATTTAAGGAAAATAAAGACAGGTTGATTTTTTTGAGACTTTTTTTTTTTAAATAATGTATCTCTGGCTGTCCAGGAACTTGCTATGTAGATCAGGTTAGCCTTGAACTCATTCACCTGACTCTGTCTCCCAAATGCTGGTATTAAAGGCATGTACCACCATGTCCAGCTGCCGAAGTCCAAAATCCTATAGAGTCCAGAACAAGCAAAGGCCTACAGGCTGGGGATTATAGAGGGTCTGTATTAAAAGATGGGCTTGCACATGAAGACTTTGAAAACAGAAGAACCCTGGGAGTGCTAGGCGGTTAGAATTACACCTGAGAAGCCTGGAAGATCCTCTTGAGAAGAGCACAGCCACCACAAGACTCTGCCTCTCCCCACCATCCAGTTTCACAGTCTACATGGCTATGTTGTCTCCTTCCGTACAGCCTAACAGTCAGGGTTCCCGGTTAGCGGGAACCCTGAGGTGTTCAGAGATGGGCTTCCTAAAAGCACACAGATAAACAAAGGCAGTATTGGAAGCGAAAACTATAGCAAAGCACTGAGGACTGAGAGCAGGGAGGGCAGCATGATGTCACTTGGGTTAAAGCCTGTGATGTCATCTCTGATAGGAAGAATTGGCATGTGGAGGGGAACAGCCTCACAGGGAGCAGCCCCGACCAATCCCTGTGGAAGAGGAGAAAGCCTAGCGCCTTGGGGGTTTGAGAACAGGCCAGAGGAGCCTGGGAGGTTGGAGGGTTAGGCTCAGGAGCTGTCAGGAGGACCGTGGAACCTTTGAAAAGTTCCAAGGCATAAAGAGACAGTGCTCAGTTTGTAATGTGATGAAGTGGGTTAGAGGAGCAAGGACAGGAAACAGCAAGTTTGTCAAAAAGAAAGCATCCATGAGGAATATTTAGGCTGAAGCAGTGATAGTTTTGAGATGAACATGGAGCAGAGCACAGCCTCCATTCAACAGAACATACCTTCGTCTAACAGGTTCCTCACAGGTGTAGAGAGCAATTCCTTTCTGTAGTGTCGCTAGAGGAGGATCAGCTAAGAGGGCTCATGTCTGAGCTGATTCAGCATGAAATAAACCTTTGACAAAGACTATGGCATCTGTGAAAAACTTAAAATAATGAGATCATGCTAATTTTTTTTTCTAAAAAAAAAAAAAAAAAAAAAAGGCCGCCGAGAGACCAGTGTGAGAGACTGTCTAGGGAGAGCAGTGACGGCTCATCACAGTGCAGACCAAGCCAAGTGATCGCTTCAGTGTTCATGTATGCAGACAGCTTCACAGCTGTGATTTAACATGAACACCCAGTCACTTCCGTGTTTTAAAAATAAGCCCAGAGTTTCAATCAGCTTAGTTGTCAATAACTGTCATTCTTTACTCCCCTCTCTCTGACCTTCCCCTCTCTTTCTCTCTCCCTCTTTGAGGCAGGACCTCACACTGCATCCCAGGTTGGCCTAGATGTACTATGCAGTTCAGGCCGCCCTCCAGATTATGGCAGTCCTCCTACTTTGGCTTCCCAGCTCCCTTGGTTATAGGAATAGACCCCTGTGTCCAGAGTCAGTCTCCAGCCATTTCCCCTTCCTCTTTTGAATCAAAAGTGTCTACAATTAGTCTTATGGCTAGAGACAGCAGATTCTATTGGGTGAAGGATCAGACTGGTAAAAAAAAAATAATCAGATCATGCTGTTTGTATACGTCTTAAAACAGAAAAGACATAATATGGTACAAAAGATGCCTGTGTTGTGTCTAAGGCCATGAATTAACTTGCTCTGTGCCCTCACTTAGAAAATAAAACATAACGAAAAGAATGAAATAAACTGATTTCTCTCTAGTCTCCTCGAGGCTCGTTCCGGATATAATGCAGTTTCTTTTCTCCCACAGGCAACCTCGTTGCTTCTTAGGGTTAGAAGAATTGAGCTAACAGGAGTCTGCAACCTCTCTGCCTTGCTGATCCACCGAGGCAGAGGGTCACTGGTTTGCAGGAGTATATGACCACAGATCAGAGAGCCACTGGTAAGTAGATGCTGCCCTTCACCCCCCCCCCACGTTCACTGTACAGCTTTTAAAAAAAATGTAGCATCTTTTGTGTTCCACATATGCGTGTGCACGTGCACACACAGATAGGTGTGCATTGTGCACAAAGTGTAGAATCTTAGAACTTGGAGGTGCATTTTAATTTGGTTCTTCAACTTCTACTAGAAAGTGGCGGTGGTTATGATAATCAGTAATTTAAAATAGTAGTAAATGGGTGTTTGTAAATGAAGGGATTCTGAGAGAAGGGAAGTCACTGATAAGGGCAGTGAAAGCATTTTCCTTATGGACTAGTTCATCTCTGAAAGCATAGCGATGTGAAAGCCTTCTCCTTGGCTATGTTTCACTGTACTAAAATGCAAGTGTGCAGGTGAGGTAATTCTGTGATCCTTGAGAAGGTCAGTTTTCAATGCAGTCCCTCAGTGCAGCTGGACCTGAGTTCCATGCCAGTCTAGTAGAAGTCATACTGAGAGTTCTGTGTAAAACCAACGGCTGTGCCATCTGAATGTATGTAAGACTGTAGGGGCCTGTAAGGACTTGATTCTCAGTTACATGGAACGAGGAGAAGGACGCAGGCCTCTGCAATCAAAGCCCAAGCCTGTTGTCTTGATGGCAGTGAGTGCTCAGAAGAGATACCCTTTCTTCTGTTCTATTCTTAGAAAGTAGTAAACCACGAGCCTGTCTTAGGGTCTTGTTTTGAACTCTAGTTAACAAAGATGTTGAAGACAGTCCTCATTTCATTCAGGTGGTTGAATTTGGGTCAGAACATATAACACTGTTCAGTATTACGGTAGCCAGTTGGCCATATGCAGCTTCTGAGCATTGAGACAGGGTAGTGCTATTTGAGATGTTCTCAGCAATAAAATAAACAACAGTCCAAACATTTAATATAAAAAGACTACCATATAGCAGGGCATAGTGGTGTATGCCTCTAATCTCAGCACTCTGGAGGCCAGGCAGATGGCCTGAGTTCTAAGCCAGCCTGGTCTACATAGTGAGTTCCAGGACAGCCAGGCCTGCATAAAGGGATAACAACTCCACATTATTTAAAATTTTATAAATGTAGAAATAACATTATACATGTGTTGAATTAAATAAAACATTAAAATTAATTCTATTTTTTCTACATTTTACCGTGTGACAGCTAGAGGTATCCCTTCTCCCTCTCCTCTCTCTTGTTCTTTAAAAAAAAAAAAAAAACAACAACAGGATTTTGCTCTGTAGCTCAGGCTAGCCTTCAGCTCTCTTTCCTTAAACTCCTGAATGCTGAAATTCAGGCATGTGTCACCATGCCTAGATTAGAAAAATTTAAGTTGTTTGTACCTTGAGTTTGTCTGTCAGTCTCTCTTTCTTTACTTTTTTTAAAATTTACTTATTTATTTAAAGCTGGGCTTTATGTGTAATCCAGATTGGCCTAAACTCACGACAATCTTCTTGCCTGAGCTCCCAAGTGCTAGGTTATAGGCATGTTCCTTCACACTTGGCTTTGGATTGTAGCTTCCTTTTACAGGGTGGTCTCTGTCATCGTATATGGCCCTTCTTAATCCTCTATTGTTTAATGTTCTCTGTTCCTTCAGCTTTTCTGTATGGATAATTTATATAAATCTATATTGTTTGATGAATGTGACTCTTGGTCAAGTGTTTATTGAATTCCTACCATGTGCCAGACAATATTGTAGTGTTCGTGGCACAGCAGCAAGCAAAACTGCACTCATGGAACATTCTAGATACAGATCTAGAACAAATAAGTGACTGAAACTCATTTTCTGGTGCTCCATGAACTTTAGAGAACTGCAGGACAGGCAGGGGTTGGGGGCTCATTCCAGGAATGGAATTCCTTTCAGGAAAGCTCCTCCACTGGACAGTGACTTGAAACAGCAGAGCAAGGAGTCCCAGAGGAAGGCAGTGGGACTGGAGTGGTAGACAGGACAGCAGATGCAGAGCTCTTAGGATGCAGCCATGCCAGGCTTGCCTGGACAGGAGGGAGAGGTCAGCGACAGGAGTAGACAGGAGTAGAGTGAGCAGTGTGGGCTGAGGAGGGGAGAATGCAAGTGATGTCACACACAAATGTCAGTTATACTAAGGGCTTTTGTCTCTGATGACATGAACAGGGATGGGTGGGTTTCAAGGAGAGAGGCTTGTGGCACCCACTCTTCTGATCTGCTGCAGTTTGAATAGTTCGGGATCAGGGCATTTACAATAAGGAAGCAGAGAGCGTTAGAGGGTAGAGCCGTGGCCAAGTGAGAGGTGATGGTGCCTGAGACCAAAGCTAACGGAAGTCAGTGAGATGGGATTGCCAAGGGGGACGGGTTGGATAGCAGCTGGACAGTGTACTACAGTGTCTGAAAAGCTGCAGCATGGGTGAGCAGCCTGCCTGATCAGTACAGCGGATGGCTTAGATCAGCAGGGGCCTGAGGGTTGCTGGATTTAGCCATGACCTTGACAGTAGCACGTTCAGCAAAATGGGCAAGGATAATTGGGAGAAGGCTGAGAAACCAAGCCTGGATCCTCTTGAGCCCATGAGAGCTAAGGAAATTGTTTTTGTACAGGTGGGAGAAGTCGGCACCCTTTCCCAGGGCTGGTCAGTGTTAGATTTGTTTTCTTGAAATGGCTCTCTAGATTTGTGACACTGAAGACAAGCACCCCCGTGAATAAGGCTGTGAGGGGAATGGAGCTCTTCCTCTTAGTGTCCTAGGCTTGCTCCAGGGTGGGA